TCACTCCTGATGTTTCTAGGACCAGCACACCGAACGAAACGTTGTTTTAATTATAATCGACGAAACTTTCACAAATATAATTCCCCCTTTAACGTCTAATCTTATTGTTATTTTGGAAAGTTTCTATCTGTTTAAAGCATCCAGTGAGGAGCTGTGACCAGTGGAGCTAACCCGTGCCGGGTAGAGACAGGTATCTACCTCAGTATAATGGAAGATGGTCGCGCAATTTCTTGGATTGGTTGATGTTAGACACTAACAACATTGGATGCCGACTCAGTGGTCCAGTAGGTTAGGCGTCCGTGTGCGAGACTGAAGGCCCTGGGTTCGAATCCCGCGAGCAGGATCGTAGATCGCACTACTGAGGAGTCCAACGATAGGACGAAATGGCCGTCCATTGCTCCCAGGTTTCCAACGGTGGTCTAGCATTAATCGGTTCATGATCTCAATCATAAAGTATCCACGTTGCACGAAATCAAATTTAATAATAAAATCATACTTTGAACAACTCGTCAGATATAAATACTAGCCAAGTTCATAAAATACCATACTCAGTCGAAAATGAACTTCACATTTTTACAGTAAATGTTTTCCAACTTATTAACAGTTAATATCCTTTAAAATGAATGTATCAAATCACATAAATAAAGACTGATTCTTACTTATCTACTTCATAAAAATAACTTTTTGCTCTAAAATGAATGCTAAAGGGATTAAAATCGTTGGTGTAACTATGATTTAGTAATTATAGATGGAGTTGACTGCCTATGAATGAATTCTGAATATTAGTGCATGTTCAGTATCATTGTGATCCAGAGATTACTCATACATTCATTCATCCATTCAGAATTTAAGGGTTGATAAACAGGCATTGATTGAAAACGAAGCAAGTGACGGAATCCAAACGAGTATTTCGCTTATATTATGGATCAAGTTCCTGAGAAGATTGTCAATATTATCCGGAACTCATATGACGGACTACAGTGCAAGGTCGTGCATGGAGGATAGCTGACAGACGCATTCCAAGTGAGGACCGGAGTCAGACAAGGCTGTTTACTCTCTCCCTCCCTCTTTCTTCTGGTGGTCGACTGCATTATGAAGACCTCGACATCTGAAGGAAAACACGGAATACAATGGACAGCTCAGAATCAATTAGACGATTTGGACTTCGCAGATGACCTAGCCCTCCTATCGCGTACACACGAACAGATGCAGATGAAGACAGCCAGTGTAGCAGCAGTCTCTGCATCAGTAGGCCTCAGTATACACAAAGGGAAAACCAAGGTCCTCAAATTCAAAGCGGAGAACAGCAATCCAATCACTCTCGATGGCGAAACTCTGGAAGATGTAGAGTCCTTCACATACCTAGGAAGCATCATCGATGAACAAGGAGGTTCAGATGCAGATGTAAAGGCGAGGATTGGCAAAGCAAGGGTCGCATTCCTACAATTGAAGAACATATGGAATTCAAAACAACTTTCAACCAATATCAAAGTGAGAATCTTCAATACGAACGTCAAGGCAGTTCTACTGTATGGAGCTGAAACTTGGAGAACTACAACAACCACAATCAAGAAAGTACAAGTATTTATAAATAGCTGTCTACGCAAGATACTCAACATCCATTGGCCGGATACCATCAGCAATAGCCTTCTGTGAGAGAGAACAAACCAACTTCCAGCTGAAGAAATTAGGAAAAGACGATGGAAATGGATATGACATACATTACGAAAATCACCAAACTGCATCACGAGGCAAGCCCTAACTTGGAATCCTGAAGGGAAGCGGAAAAGAGGAAGGCCAAAGAACACGTTACGTCGGGAAATAGAAGCAGATATGAAAAGGATCAATAAGAACTGGAAAGAGCTGAAAAGGATTGCCCAGAACAGGGTTGGATGGAGAAAGCTGGTGGGCGGCCTATGCTCCTTCACGAGGAGTAACAGGCGTAAGTTATGGACCAAGTAAAAAACAAAGTAATCAATACTTATCAATTTCTTTATTTGTAACCCGATTCGACCAACACTTTAGACTACAGAATATTCTGCTTAAGCTTAAATCAACTACCCATTAAAATTTTAATCGATAATTGGAAAGGATAAAGATAAAACCTCAGACCTAGGTCTTGTGCTTGTTGATAACCTTTCGACAAGTTGTATCTGCAATCATAAGAATAAAGATGCTACTCGATAAAATTAAAGGCATTGCCATTAAGATACTCGAATTGCAATTGACTATCTGTAAGAACTGAACTGATGAGTTCATAAACAAAATGAAGACCATCCAACACAAACTTTTCTTCACACCGATGTAATTTAAGTTGTACAACAGTATATTTAGTTCTACATATGGTGGTCTAGAGTGAAACGGGGAGCATCGTATTACTAAAAAAATTGTCAAATATTATCAACTTTCAAGTACTGATCATATAGTCACGCGCTGTCACGGAAATGTTTGCACATTCAACAGGAAGTTTGGATCAAACATTTGTGCAACAAACCCTCACTTTGTAATGGTCTACTACATGCAGAACTAGCTACATATCACAGCCCAAGTCAAGGATAGTTGCAAATAAAATTTTCTTTGCTTAGCTGTTCGCATTTCGTTTGATGGCGTAATGGGTTTCTTTCGTTGCTATAAATTTTGACTTATGTATGTACTGAAAGGTATACAATCCAGGAAACTAGGAAATGTTAAGAGGACTCTAGTAATCGTAAAACTTACTTCATTTTATCGAGACTGTTAGCTAATGGATATGATAGTTCCTGTCAAATTTCATATTGGTACTAAGTACCTAATTAGATGAGGGCGTATGAGTGACGATGCTAAAACATAATTAGATTTTACCTAAAAAACCGATAGTGCAGTCTAATGATCGCTTATGGTAAAAATAAAAATATGCTTGGGACATATTAGTTGCTTTAGAGCTGATCTGAATCATAAGAAAAGTTAAATGCATCGACAACTCCAGCTATTGGTTTTGACAGGTAAAGTCTGAAAAAATCTCGGTACAGACCTTTATCAACTGAGGCAATAGGGAACTTACGTATGCCTAGGTCGGTGAGGTGTAGTGTAGCTGGAAAAAAGATGGCAGTAGGTTAAACAATACGTAGTATCAGTGCATGTAGTCTCTGACTCATGTTAAATTTAGATCATGTGGTTCCAGACTGCACGATATTTATGGTCAGCGGAGAGAGACAATAAGTCATGCGTCAGAATAGGCCATAGATAGATCCGCACTCGATATCGAATCCCAATTTTCCATCCCACCTTTCTAATCACATTTTTAGTGCTTCTTTCATTTTACCCTTTTAATGTACTATTTCGACTCCATAACTATTCATCTTTATTATAATAGCGTCATGTGGCAACTTCGGTCAACGTACATTTGTAACAGGCACTACTTCCTTTGACTGATAACGACTGACTCGGTGGGGATTTAGTGGTCCGTGGATCTGTCTCCATTTAGATCGTACGAATGTTTGTTATCACCTATCCTCGTATACAATCATCGACTTAAATCACGCTAGTCAATAACGGAATTTAGATAAGTCAATTAACGAGAATGGCCTTTGAATACATATATTTTGTATGTAAAGTGAATGTAACAGAACAAAGCAAAATGACGCGCAGGGGAGATGGCTGGTAAGCCAACTCATTTTTAGCCAGGCGTTACTCAATATTCATAGGCAGACAAAATAAACTACAGACGTGTGATGAGACATGGGGATATGAAGTGTACACACATATACGCTCATATAAAAACAGTCAAGACTGATAAGCGAATAACTAACAGGGTCAAAATATGACTCAAGTAGAATGAATAGATGGGGCTGTCCGAAAGTTAGAATAAAGCATATGGGTTTAACTTAATGACTGACACTACAGAAAGATTTTTTAAAGCAGTCCAAAATTCAATTAAACCACGATTAATGCAAAACAGAAGGAAGCGAGCAGTAAAACTGACTATAAGCAAGAGAGCACATATCAAATATAACTTTCTTATACTATTTAGAATGTGGCATATTTAAGCGGATCAATTTATCTGCATATGTAAATGGGGAAATTTTCTTTACATTTGAATTTACGTACATGGTCGACCAGTCAGCCCAGCCAAGTCAACCCCAAACTTCCACGCCCATACATAATCTCGAATCAAATGTTCATGCCACCTATATATCAAATTATTTTTTGAATGAAACAGTTTGAGGTCGGAACGGCACACATAAGTGCCTCGGCTCAGGTTATCATGATACAATGAAAATACGTAGATATGCGCAAAGACTAACCACTAAAAGATTAAGAAAAATAACCTATCGATAAAGCAATTCAATAAATAACAGAAACGACTAACAGTTAGAAACATATTTGACTCAGAGAACCCCTCATTCTTCGGTCTTTACCGGTTAACTTGTTTATTTGCCAGATGAATACAGAACCTCGAAAAGTATTATCGACTACTACTCTTGAAGTGAATATTTTTGTTTATATAAGGTATTTAGGTGGATTCCATAAAACTAGATTACGGCTGAAGGATGAGGGTCGCTGAAGGATGAATTCCAGAAGACATGAAGCCTTAATTATCAGACATTGTAGATTTGCAGTAGCCTAACACAATTAATCCGAGTTTGAATCAGTACATTTGCAAACTCGTGACTTCAGAGTACTAGCAATTGCAATAAAACCGGTTCAAAGAGAATGAGATTCACCACAATACCCTTTTCAGACAAAAATATTACGAGGCGAAAAATTTTCGGAGACGTTTTATATGTTCAGTATCAGAAACATGTACACTAGGCCTCTCGTGTTTGGATGGGTAGTCTGAATTTTTCAACTAAGTACTTCAGTCCATAAGATTCTTCTCCAATATCAGTTACCACGATGCATGAGGCTGACACGACTTTTCTAGCCTTTCCTTCTTTGTCATACTTACACAATCCGGACCACTCGCCAAGCTTTTTATTATCAGGGACCTGCAGCCTTATATTTATATTAAGTTATCATACCTTCACAAGAGGGATGCCATGTTCATGGCATAGTGCTTCAATCAGAGTTGTGTAAGCTTTTTCATTGCAATTTTCTGCCAGGAAACAAAGAACAACACCTCGTTGTTCAATCAATTTCGTGCACTCATTTAATCCACGACATATTCCACGGCACTTCGCAGCATTTTTAAGGACTTGCTGCACAGCACTATCCAAATCCATTTCCGTGGCCAACATGTTTCTGCAATAGGAAAAAACCAAGAGAACAATCAAGATTATGATGATTAGACGGTGTACATACAATTAACGCCAATCACGTTCTACTAGTACCGAAACGAGCGCCACCAGGTGACTAAAACAAATTCTTAACACATGTTACAAATTGTCATGGATGGAAGAAAAGTAGCTCTCTCTTAACAGGCTTCCGGATCTATTATCAGTGAATCACCAATACTTCTGAGCAGTAGACTAGTAACATTCAACGGTAATAAGAGAAATAATAAATTCTGTCCTGAGTCCTGGAGATTATGTAGAGCTACTTTTCAATGAACCGTTGAGAACCCGCCTTCACTACATCAGACGGCACAGAGTTCTAAAACTGATTGATAAAAATTTTTCTTTTAGTCTATCCTGCTCTGCTATGCCTTAATTTTCTGGTATTGCCCGTAAAGTTTTAGTTAAAACTGCGCTTAACTAATTAAGCATTCAAGGAAGTGCCCATGAATTTTTCGAATGTGATCAGATCACATTTGAGGCGTCTGTACTTCAATCGAAAATGTGATTTGAGCCACACTTTATAATATTCAAATAGATTACCCATGCCATTAGAAACGTCCCCATATATTCATCTTTTTGGAGTAAGGGAGAAAACCCGATGTTTCCATACTTGGAAAGATTACGTAGCCAAAAGTGAGCTTCAGTGTTATCAGTGCAAGGATTTTGTGGACGGCATTGTAGCAGCTAGTGTAAGGCTTCAAACCATACGATACATATGCTTGTAGATTTTCGTCAACTTGGAGCACATCAAGAACAAGATTTTATGAGTAGTTTTTGACGTGTCCCAGATGGACTACTTCCAACTTTGAGGCGTTGAAAATAATTCCATTGTTGTTCGCTGTACTATGAAGTCGGGTTAGATCTTCCTGAAGTGCCAGCTCTCTGTCCCAGTCACATATCTCTTTTCAATATTTAATATAGTCAGCACAAAGCAGTAACTCAAACGACACTTGCTGGGGAAGTTAGTTTATATAAATCAGAAAAGAAGTCTCAGTAGTGAACACTGGCGTACCCACTAGGAAATTCCATAGCCTGAGAAAATGTAAAGTTTACCCTTAACTTAAAAAGTCGATTCTTTAGTTATGAAGTAAAACAATATATTAACAGTGACTCGATGCCTAACAGTTTGAGCTTATTGACAAGACATATGATTGGCCTTATCAATATGTCAAATTTTATTACATCAATCTTCCCTTTGGAATCCAGTATGGCTGCCCACTTGCAGATCGCGGCCAGCAGGTTGGTATATGGGAGTGGCTGGTAATGAAGTCTTGTTATTGGGGTAAAAAGAGTTTATAGATGACAAGTAGTGGCGTGGACCATCGCGCACCAGGGACAGAAAAATGTTTGAGAGCATTGAAAAGTTTCCAGCTGGTAATTTGAAGGATCAATGCATCAGCCTCCTTTGAAAATAGATGTGATACGCCCCAGCTCCTAACTGTCGGACTCAATGAAATGGCTAAGCATAGCTGAGAATATCACATTTGGAAGTTTTTCCAAGATTGAAGCCGCTTCCCTCAGTTTAGCAGAGTGAAACATGTCCAAGCCAGAAGAAGTGTCCCTGTTTAAACACAGATATTCTTTTTAAACCAAACCAGTAATAGGTGCCGAGACTAATTGGAAATAAACAGTTACACCCCACATTTTCACAGAGTAGCCTTAACTGAATAGAACACTCGACTTTATGAACTGACTAATGACATTACCTTCAGACCAAAAAATAATTGAATATACAACCTACGAACATATGAAGCGTCAAATAACTTAATTGGCTCGTTTGTAAAATATTTGGTTTTGATATAGCAAGTTCCTTCCGAAACTCCAAAAGAAAGGTTACCACCACTCGACGAGTTTCATATGAACCAGCTTCGCAGCTTATAGCGACAGTATTCACAAGCATTCATTCCAAGCCAAGATAGTGATAAAACGAAGATTAGATTTCAACGCTAGCGGTAAGTGATTGGAAACTAACTACAGCAATTGAATTTCGAAAAGTATGCTGATCAACATTCGCTCTAACCTGCAGGCCTAAATAAAAATTGATGATAATTCATTAACGATGTCAGTAGCCACTCGAAGGTTACTACTGGTCCCAACCTCGAGTAAAGGAAGAGTGTTGGGCATGTGATAAGCAACCCCATCTGTTAATTCTATCGAAGCGTCCAAATAACCCCGATTGAGATACGCGCAAAATCGAAGTTCCAAAACAACGATTTGTCTACAAAAGCGGTTCTTTATTAAATAATACACAAAATTTAGTTACAAACCTCAACTTGTGAGGTGTCTAGGCGTTTAAACGCGTCGTTCAAGAATGAAAATCGTAAAGGCTTCCTGAAAAGGTAACATAAAGAATGATTACAACATACGATAGTCCAAAGACAGCCGATAGCTGTGTCTAAACTTGATAACAGTTTATGAACAACCGAAACTCGAACCAAGAGCAAACAATATGGAAACTGTTGCGTTTAAACAAATGCGTAAAATTGTGGATAACCGTTACAGCAATTAAATTACAGTGATTATAATGATAAATACAATTATAAGTAAAATAAACGTTAAAGATATAGGTGAACATTCCAGAATGTTACAGTACAACTTGAGTTACAACATAAGTGTGAAAATTGTTTGGCATACAGCTGCCTACTGAATGTAAATAAGTAGTATAAAACAACATACAAAGAATAGAAAAGGAGCATGTAGGAACAATGTAAGACAAACATAACACCGCCCCCCAAAGACAGCATGTCTTTCCTTACTTTCGCAGATTAGATATAAACGCAAAACGTTCAGAGGTGACAATGGTACAATTTACTCTAGCCACAGTCACTCTGAAAGGTCTCCCTATCCTCTACTGTTCAGTTGTCCATCCCTTCTAATAAACAAATTTTACATGTCTCTGATAATTGTACCTTTCCACGTTCTGATCTTCGCTTGTTTCCATAGACCATCTCCTCCTGGGTCAAAACTTACCACGAGGCCTTTAGACCAGTTATTTCGTGCATAAGTGTCCTCAATAATCAAGACTGGACCGCGAACTTGTAAATCTCGTCTTCCTTGTGTCCATTTTATTCGCGTCTGTAAGAGTGGTCTATCATTAGGTGTTCTTTCTGCTTCAGTCAAACAAGTGGTGAGTGTCTCGTAGGACATAGATACTGCACTCAAAGGTCTGCGTATGCTTCCTATTAATCTTTCCCATACTCTATGATGATTTGCGTAGGGAGTGTTATGGTGCCATTCTATGCTCCGATGAGTCATTTCTTTGGCTACTCTACTATCCTTAAAGTCTGGTAATGGATGTTGTATCTGCTTGTCTAACCCAACTAAAGAGGACATGGATGTAGTTGTCTTAAACTTCTTATCATCATCAGCATACTGAATAAAACAATCATTTTTCTGATTCTCTGTTTCACGCTTGATGTCAATAGAACTCTCAGCAGACGCCACTACAGGAGATACAAGTTTCGTATTTGCAGAGAATTGAGTTGTTGTTGCTTTGCAACTAATTGATGACTCGTATAGTAGTATCACAGACTTAGCACTATCGTTCACGTCAGAAACACTAGGGAGATCTGTTTCGGCAGAGAACATAACAGATGTTTTCGATGACATTAACTCGCCGCTCTCTGTTGGAAGAATTTTGTCTGGAGGAGAAATACATCTAAGGTCAATATTCACTACTGTATCGACGTGACTATCGTTGACAGTTTTTAGAAGGTACTCATCGTCAACAGCTAGTAATGAAATAACTTGTTCTAAATCCATTAAATTCTCGTCTGTCGCTTTAGATATAGGATCAAAGGTGTCTATAAGTCGGTTACTTCTTGAATCAGGTGGAGTGTTAAATCCAGAAGAACGAACTGACGGTAAGCCTTGATGAACCCTGGGATCTTCAGTCTCAACAGCGGCTGCTGCTACTATGAGTGAGCGTACATCATCATTATCGACTAAGAGTGCCACATCAGGAGAGTGTTTAAGGCATAAACCAGGATCATCTATGAACGGCAACAAACGATTTGAAGAGTTTTCAGGCGCTATTGTGGTCAAAGAAGGGGCCGGCGTGGGTCCATCCTCGATAGAACTCTTTGATTCTAAACAGTTTATGAAGACTGAAGTTTTATTAAGTTGACCCGTTGGTCCAAATAAAGCCCAACCTAACATGGTTAGTGAAGCATAGGGTTGTTTAGGTCTTCCGATACGCTGATCGAGTACCCAGTGGGCCTCTGGAACGTCAACACCAAGTAACAAACCAACCTTGTCACAGGCTATGGTAGGTAGTTGTACACCTTTCAAGTGTTTCCATCTTTCTTGGAAGTCTGTTGGTGGGATTTCTGCTCTTTTAATAGGTAAGTTATCTATAGTATATGCACCTTCGATTTTTATTCGGCTGGTCTTATCTAAAGACTCAATTTCGAAATTGGTAAGTTCAGCGTTCTGAGATGACGCTCCAATTACTGAAGATATGTTTAATCTTGTCACTGTACCAGAAATTCCTACCTGCTTTGCCACGTCACTAAGCAGTAATGTCGAGTCTGAGCCATTATCTAACAATGCATAGGTATCCACATAACCTGTGGGACCATGTAGCCTGACTGGTACAAAGCCTAAATACGTTCCAGTAGTATGAGTAGAGTTACAACATGCTTGTTTAGCATCAGGTTCTGTGTTGTGAAGAATTCTATGATGGCGTCGCTTGCATCCATCAATTTCACACAACACGGGTTGTCTGCAGTCTGTGGCTCGATGATTGGGTTTTAAACAATTGAAGCAAAGTTTAAACTTCTTCAGCAATTCTACTTTTTCGTTATGACTTACTTCCAGTAGCTGAGGGCAAGACGCGACTTCGTGGGCCTCCGAGCAAATTACACAATGGACTGTCCCTTTAATCGACGAAGTATGGATCTTAGCTCTTATGGAAGCCGACCGGTTGTTCGATATCGTTTGAGTTTTATAGCTTCCGCTTGCTAA